AAACCTTGCGCGCGGTATACAAACGAACATGGAACAATACATTTATTAATCTGTGTTAATGTTAGTTAATAAAAAGACAATCGTTCAGTGTTTGTTCATGTTTTTGTTGCTGTTACGTGACGTAGCGGTGACTGACTAGGGGCGAGGCGTGGGCTGATGACGTCATCGTTTCAGAAAATTTACGGATTCACTGTCCACACGAAAACGCAAGGGCGGCGTTTTCAGATTTATCCACTCAGGGACCCGGTTTAAAAAAATATCGGTTTTACTCTCCCAAAACGCCAGATCCGTGTGGACGAAACGCCTATATGATACAAAATGTATGCGTATACAGCTAAACGCATCTCCGTGTGGACGGGGCCTAAGGCGACAGTATAATAATGGAGCGGTTGAGACTGCGGTTTAGACAAGAGTGGATTGAACTTGACTCACTCAAGGGTATGTGCAAGTGACTTTGAGGCACTTTTCCAAGTGAAATATCATTTAGTTTATCACAGTTACACATCTTCTTGTTCATCTATTAAAGTTATAATGCTTTCAAGGACATTTCTCAACAATCTGTATTATTACTTTAGATAGAAAAGAAAATAAGCAGCAGTTATAGCTCTAAAATCCTGCTGTATTGCTTTTATGTTCCAGACAGTACTTTCAGGTGGGCAGAGGTAATCTGTCACCATGCCAGCTTGTGGGGGTGGTGGACAAAAGGTTCTGAGTTGCTTCTAGCCACCCCATTTTTCCACAATTCATCTTTGCTTAAAAGAATAGAGCTTTCAGGTCTAAAAGGGGGTGCAAACGCATCATTAAAATAGTCCATACAAGTCTGTGCGCTGTATTACATGTCTTCAGTCATTAGAAAGGAGTGAGAAACACCCAAATTTAAGTCAAGTTCATGTGAGAAGTAGTGATGGGTGATTTGCAAATGAGTCTTGAACCATTTGATCTGATTCACAGTAGCCGGAAAGATCTTTTTTGGAGCTGAGTTCCTGAGTTCAACTCATAGATTTTATGATCATTGAAAAGAAAGATTATCATTGAGTAACTCACGTAATTGCTGTAAAGAATTCAGAACACTTTTATGATACTTTTTGAAGATACATACACATATATACACATTTTTATTTTTAACTTTCTTCTCATTCGAATATTCAAATTTTTATGTAGAATTAGAATTTCTAAAAGATCATGTGACACTGAAGGCTGGAGTAATGGCTGATGAAAATTCAGCTTTGCATCACAGGAATAAATTACATTTTAAAGTATATTCCAATAGAAATCTTATTTTAAATTATACGAATTTTCACAATATTTCTGTTTTTACTGTATTTTTCTTGGTGAGCAAAAGAGACACCTTTCAAAAACATTTTTTTTTTTAAATGTACCGACCCCAAACTTTTGAATAGCAGTGTGTGTGTGTGCATATAATATACTCATGCCAATAATGAACAATATTTTGTATACATCAATTCCTGCTCTTTCTTAAAGAAGGGCCCCACATCAGGGGTTCGGGGTTTTAGAAAGACGCCTCCGCAGGAGAGGAGGAATAAGTTGGTGTTTGATAAAAAAAAAGTGAGGGTGACATTTAAGAAAGCTGTGCTGGAGGTCCAAATCTGACCTTCAGAGGGTCTGACTGCAGAGCCTTTACTAACAAACTCAGCACAGTGACATGTACACTGACCGCTCTTTGAATTCTGTTTGTCCACTGCGAATGAAAAATTACCACCTGGGTGAAAATAGATCTTGCATAAGGAGAAACCTGGCATTTGCATGTACATCAAACAAGCAGCTCTCAGCCCCACATCAGGGGTTCGGGGTTTTAGAAAGACGCCTCCGCAGGAGAGGAGGAATAAGTTGGTGTTTGATAAAAAAAAAGTGAGGGTGACATTTAAGAAAGCTGTGCTGGAGGTCCAAATCTGACCTTCAGAGGGTCTGACTGCAGAGCCTTTACTAACAAACTCAGCACAGTGACATGTACACTGACCGCTCTTTGAATTCTGTTTGTCCACTGCGAATTAAAAAGTACCACCTGGGTGAAAATAGATCTTGCATAAGGAGAAACCTGGTATTTGCATGTACATCAAACAAGCAGCTCTCAGAAATCTCAATGAAGTGTCAGGTCTGAAGGGCATTCTGGGTAAAGGCTAAATATCCATCCTGTAGAATTTCCAAATGTGACATCCATCAGCAGCTAACACAAATACAGCTCATCTAATAAAGCAGTTGACATTTGAGTTAGTGTCACCATCTGAAATGTTGTGACTGAGCACTCTCAAGCTGTTCGGGTGTCTCAAAACAATTAGAAAAAGCATATTATATAACCTTAATGGACTGTAACCTTCGCGTCAAACAGAACTGAACTGTCATGTTATGCAACTGCACTCAACAAAGACTCTTTCTGAGGTTTTCTGAGAGTTGAACACCATATATGCACAAACGCGTGAAAACATACTATCTTACTTTAGGCTGCTGAGCCTCCAAGGCCTTCTTTCCATCCCAAGCCCAGCTGCGTTTGGTGAAGTAGTTGACTGTGGCAAACTCAATAAGCGCAGAGAACACAAAGGCATAGCAAACAGCGATGAACCAATCCATTGCAGTGGCATATGCTACTTTGGGCAGAGAGTTGCGGGCGCTGATGCTGAGGGTGGTCATGGTCAACACTGTGGTCACACCTGTGGAGGACCAAACACATAGATTTAGGATATTATAAAATAAGGGCTCTCTAAAGCTGGTCAAAAATATTGATTTTTTTATAATAAAGTCTCTTGTGCTCACCAAGGCTGCATTTATTTGATTAAAAATACAGCAAAAACAGTAATATTGTGAAATATTATTACAATTTAAAATAACTTTATATTTTAACCTATTCAGCTGAATTTTCAGCAGCAATTCCTCTAGTCAATACTTTCATTCAGCATTTAAATGATCACAAGTGACAGTAGACATTTATAATGTTACAAAAGTTTTCTATTTTTAATAAATGCAATTCTTTTGAACTTTCTATTGATCAAAGAATCCTGAAAAAAATGTATAATGGTTTCCACAAAAATATTAAGCAGCAAAAACAAACAAAGCAAAAGCACAAATAAAAAAATTATTAAGCACCAAATCAGCATATTAGAATGATTTCTGAAGGATCATGTGACACTGAAAACTGAAGTAATAGCTACTGAAAATTCAGCTTTGCCATCAAAGGAATAAATTGCTTTTTAAAATATATAAAAATTAAACAGTTATTGTAAATTATAATATTCTAAAATATTGTTGTCACAGTATTTTTTATCAAATAAATGCAGCCTCGGTGAGCATAAGATACTTATTTCAGAAACATTAAAATATCATAAATGTTCCAAATAATATATCCAAACTTTTGACAGGTAGTGTAAAAGAAAACTAATAGACATTACAGTCTAAATCCTTAAAAGTTTGTATCTTTGTAAAACACCATAAATCAAACAACATGCTTAATTAACAAAATACATTTCTTTAAAACATATAATAGTTACACCATAATTTCTTTATGGTGTAAAATAAACAGGCATATAACGCTTATAATATAACATGATTTATGTGGCGAAAACAATCACAGTAATCCATCAAAAAAGTTTCAGTAGAAGCAGAATCATTTTGTGAATGCCGCTCCGCTACCAGTGAGCAGGGAAATTTTGTCTTTCATCCAACATAATTCTTTTAATATTTAAAATACTGTGCATGAATAAAATATTGCTTCATGAATCATAAACTCATCTTAACACCAAAACAAAGCATACCAGCTGGGAATACTGACATTAAGATCATTTCATTCCCAGAAATGCAGTCTATTTCTATCAAAGCAAAAAACTGTATAGAAGGTAGCAATGAAGGGTCAAACACAGCAGCACTGCAGTTCAGATATAAATGTTTTTTTTTTAATATCTAACATGCCCTTAGAATGACAGTATCATTATAATTCTTTATGCAAAGCATCTGAGAATAGTTCTCGATAAGTGTCTGAGGAGCGGAGGTGTGCTATCCCTGTCAGAGGGAGATCTGCAGATTGCCCCAGGCAGCGGTCACAGAGACTTTTAGATATAAATAGCTATGGTACTACAGTCCCTCAGGCATACGGCTCCGGGATTTCTCAGCCTCGGGCTATGCAAATAAAACACTGTCACATGAGCGATATCGTGGTGTTAGTAAATTCACCACTTAATTTTGAGTTAAAATATGTTGTAACTTGCGTTACTGAGATTGTAACGAGTAATAATATTACCCAAATTTGATTAGTAATGCGTTATATTACTGCGTTACAGCAAAAAGTAATATACTACTGTAATATTATTACTTTTGTAATGCGTTACTCCCAACACTGTCAGCGAGTGGGTCTTTGAGCCTCTGTTCATGGATATTTGTATATTTATGCATGTGAGAAAGCATTATGTTTTGATGTATCCTTTGTTGGCCAGTCATAGAGATGTTGTTTGCGTGGGCACATATTCCTTGTGGACTGTCTGCTCGCTTTGCTGATTATTGCCAAGATACAATGCAAGACCCCAGAATTGAATAGGAACGGCGGTGTGAATTCATCCGAGTGGATTAGCTCTTCATTCCTTCTGATTGCATCAGTCAATTCTGATTTCCATTTTGATGAGAATTATCGATGTACAAAGCAAAACATTAAGTGATAGAACGAAAGGATCAACAGATAAGAATCCGTACATGCTAGGTGAGTGAAAACGGAATATAATTATAAAAAAATCCTCTACATTCAAACAGAACTGGAGGAGTAAATGCCTGATGCTGATAAGTTTTTAAAGGTGCAAGCTGTTTTTTTGTCTAATAAATCTGTAATAACTGGACAATGCTATTACCATTAGCATGATGTAGTTTTGGCATCAACCAGTAGGGGCTAATGGAGCCATGCTAAACAGTGTTGTTAATCCTAACTAAAACTATTGAAATCGTTTTTGTTAAATGTAGAGATGCACGATACTGGATTTTTGCAGATATCCGATATGCCGATATTTTTCAACTTATTTTGGCCTAGAGCCAATGCCGATATATTTCCTTTTGTTTGGAATCAACACCAAGAGATTATAAACATTATCTTTTTTTTAAATTTTGGTTATAGTTTTGACCAAAAACTTGCTTGTTAGAACTAAATAAACAATAAAGTTATTTTTTATAATGAGAGTAAATGGAAAGCTTTGAAAATAACTATTGAAAAATTTTTTTTTGCCCTTTTTTAACCTTAACATTTCGCCATATATAAAATAAAATTAAAAATTTGATAAAAGACTTTAATTAAAAAAAAAACTTAAATGAGAATTAGAAATGTTCCCTTGCCAACTAACTGAAAGTTGTAGTACTAAAATTACGAAAACTGAAACTAAAACAAAATTACAGCTATAAATTTGAAAAAAAAAATAAATAAAGTCAAAATGAAAACTGAGAATATAAAAATAATAATTAAAATTAATAATACATACCGTATTGGCCCGAATATAAGACGACCCTGATTATAAGACGACCCCCGCTTTTTCCAGATGTACCTTTTGGAAAAAGGCTTTTTAAAAACCAAATCTTGTTTTTTCTCAGTAAAACACATTTTGTCTTCAATTATTTTCATATTGCATATTTTTCCTATTTTAATTTTTGTTTTGAAAGTATGGTAAAAACTGGTAAAATGTACCAACAATCACATTTAAAAAATATACACTTTTTGATATACCATTAAAAAAACAAAAACAGGTAGCCCATCTGAATTAGGACATTTAGGCTATCCATCTAATAGTAGCCTACCAAAATCTTATTAACAGTAGAAGTTAAATCTTACTGTAGTCTTCAAATCTGGGTACTGTCTTACGTTTTAAAATCACAAAGGGAGTTTGGTGCCATCAGGCTAACGTGACAGTCACGACTTATGCAGCTGTAAGGTTTTCTTTTTCTTTTGCTTTTAGTCGCGATCTTTACAACACGCATTACGTATTTCATGGCACACTCGTTTTATGCGTATTTGGTGCCACCAAGTGTTGTGGGTGTATTATTGACATGTCAAAGTCTAGACCCTGAATATAAGACGACTGCGTTTTTTCAGATGTATTTCCAAGAAAAAAAGATTGTCTTATATTCGGGACAATACGGTATTATAAAATTATATAAATAAAACTGAGTTACTAAAAAATATAGTTTAAGAAATCTATAATAACTCAAGAAATCTATTAGCATTAGCATTTTCTTAACTTTTCAAGTAAATCACCTGAGTTATACTATACAGCTAATATTGGATTTCTCAATAAAGAAATAAGCTGTGTCCAGATGGTGTAGTTACAACATTAACCAGCAGGGGATAACAGGGCCTTGCTACAACTAAATTTATTAAAAATAGTTTTTGAAATGAAATATGTATTAGACAGAATCATTGAAATAATACGGTTACTAAAATTAAAACGTAAAAAAAAAAACATTCATGGCAGCATTCATGAGGGGGTACCACGTTCATGTAGAACTATTTGTATTTTGTATACTATTTGTATACTATTTTGTAGAACAGCTATGTGTGTGTGTGTACGCGCGCGCGCGTTTTTGTGATTTATGAGGACACAAATTTGTATAATGACATGGGTATGACATAGGTATTACAACAAGAAGGTGATTTATGAGGACATTTTGAGTGTCCCCATATTTCTAAAGGCTTATAAATCATTCAGAATGAGTTTTTTTGAAAATCTAAAAATGCAGAAGGTTTCCTGTAAGGGGTAGGTTTAGGTGTAGGGTTGGTGTAGGGCGATAGAAAATACGGTCTGTACAGTATAAAAACCATTACGCCTATATGGAATGTCCCCACAATTCACAAAAACAAACCTCTCTGTGTGTGTGTGTGTGTGTGTGTGTGTGTGTGTGTGTGTGTGTGTAAAACTCGCATTCCAAGGGAAAAAAGGAAGCACTAACCAAAGACCGTCCTGGCAGGGACAGATTCACGGTTGAGCCAGAATGAGACTTGGGACAGAATGACAGTCATGAAACAGGGCATGTAGGTCTGAATCACAAAGTAACCGATCTTCCTCTTCAGGTAGAAATGGGCCATCATGACTGTGTATTGACCTGCAGTGAAAGAAAGGATGAGAATAGAAAACAGTGATGGAAAAATAAGTAAGAGAAGAAACAAAGGGACTAAGAGAGGGAGGGATAGAGTGTGATTAAACTCTTGGGGGGATAAGTGCAAACCAGCTGAGAGCTTTAAAGAGAAAATGAGAAAGAGAGAGAGGTGGAGAGAAACAAGTCAAGGGAAGACAGAGACATAATAATATGAGGCAAATCAAAACAAATGGGAAGTGATGTAATTATGGAATTTTCCAACAGTGTTGTCAGTATTCTTTCAGAGTAAAGGGAAACACTTTGACTTCCTAGTTTGTGGTCTCATTAGCACCAAATAGTGGACAGTTACCATAATGTCTGGCCATAAAGATGATTTGATTTTGTTTTAGTAAAAGAGTAGAACATAAATTATTTTAAAGGTATAAAAACGGCATAAATCATCAGAATGGAACAGATTGAATCATCTAAACAAAAGTCACATTTATGGTGTGTTTAAGAGCTGTCACGCTGTGCACTGGAACATGTTGAGGTAAATCATTACCTGGAATAGAAAAGAGAATACAGAGTGTAAAAACATTATATATCCTGTTAACCAAGCGAAGATTGAATTTGAAGCTTTTAAAAAAAAATCCTTTTGAGCCACACAGTCTGATAAACTATAGAAAATCCACTGATGACTGCTGCTTTCTCCTGGCAAAATCGGATTTTTGTGTCCCACTAATCCCTTGTCACAATCTGCATCCTGCAGGCCTCTCTCTCTCTCTCTCTCTCTCTCTCTCTCTCTCACACACACACACACACAAACTCTTCTGTCTCTCGCTCTTTCAATAGTTCCATCCATTCTGTCAGGCCAGGCCATCCGCATTTAGGATATACTCTTTCACGGCTTGCAGAGAGAAAGCGAGGGAACAAAAAAGGGGGTAAAAACAGAGCAATAGCGCAAAATCTAGTCAAGATCAGAGGGGACAGATCAAGTGGATCAGATGAAGAGGATGACAAGCTGTTGAGCCTTGGAAGTCAAGGAAAAGTTTGAACGTCGTGAGGGCCCTGGGGGCAAAGATGTCCTCGTCATGAGGGGCTTGTTGCATCCCCTTCGTCTGTCTTGCCCCTTTATTTCAATGGCCGGGAAGAAAGCACAACTGGCAGTGCCCCATTTCATATATTCCACCTTGGATGTGCCCTGCGGGGTGGGACTCTTCTGAGAGCTACAAACATGCGACTGTGGTGGATTTTACTTCTAAGCTTTTGGAGTGTTTATGGAGAACTCCCATTCATAGCAGAGAACAACGCTGCCATGCTGGTCAACTGGTGAGTGGTCTGATTTTTTTTACACTCAAAGAAAAATAACACAGTGTTGAACGTCAATAGGAACGGATGAGCACCTGAGGGGGGTCAGCTTCTAAATCAATTTGAAACAGTTGGGAAGGGTAGGTGCTATTTTCTGGATGGGAGTTCTTATTAATAAAAGGTGACAGGTTATCTGGATGTCTTTACAGTGCGGGCCAAGTGATTGAATGTTGACATTTCCACTGGAGATAATTTTACCCTCTGTTTGGCAGACTCTAGAAGGTCTTTTTCCCCTTTCTTTCTTTCTTTCTTTCTTTCTTTTCCACTGGGTTTGAGCTAATGACCCTGCGCTCATGAGATGAAGTCCTGGAGGATCTATTTTTAGCTTTGTAAAGAGGTTTGCACCTCAGATTAGCAGCAGTAATGACCAGCTGACCTTTGTCCTTCAAGTCAGCCAGGGCAAAAATCAGAAGACAGGGGAAGACAGGTTATAAAGTCCTGCCAGAAAGGAACACCGTGGCCTCAGAGCTAGTTTCTAAAAGTGTTTCTGGCCACCTGATGACAGCTGGCAAACTTTGATGTGTAAATCAATGGCAGTGAGAAAGAGAGATGGCTCAGCAGGATTTAAAACATGACGTGGTCGGCGTAGTTGATAGTGTCTGCCTAGCTCATGATCAGAGCACGATAATGTCTTATTGAATATGAGTGTACGCCAGCTCAGCACGGTTATCCATATATGTACATCCATAAAGGTGGAACAAGGGGAAGCCCCCAACCCCACCCCCCACACATGATTACAAAGCTAGAGGCAGAAATTATATGAGTGTATTACCAGTCATCTTTACATAACCGAATTAGGCAGATGCTGCCTAGGCCCCCTTCTCCCCCTCGCTCGTCTCCCATGTGTCTCTTGCCAGCTTGAGCCAATGGTGGCTGACTGACGTCACATGGTAAAAGCACAACTGATGGGGAAGCACAAGGATTAACCCTCCAGACCCAGTGGCTCAGGATAAGTGTTGTTTTCTCCCCTCCCTCTCTCTCATCTTCATCTCTTCCTGTACTCTCGCTGGTCCTAGAGACAGCTGGCTGTGAGTGGGAGGTGTACTAAAATCCTCATCACTCATTTTCCATCCAGCTTGATTTGAAAAAGCTATAATCACAGAAGGGCTATCACTTTATGAGAGACGACGTCATACGGTGTAGGAAAATGAAACTGAAATGATGTGATGCAACACATCCTGTTCCAGGAAATAATGCATTAGATGTAACAGGTTAGAAGGCCAGATGAACTGTGAAAGAAAATATATGATATATTAGCAAGAATAGGCATTGCGTTACTACAAAACGTTTTGGAGCATGGTCCTAACTGTAAAGCTGAATCACAGATCTTACACCAAATGACTGACTGACTGACATTGCAATGAATGGGATTAGGTCAGAGAAAGTTATTTACCTCTGCTTGAGCTGATATCTTCCGTACCGACAGTGTGGCCGATCAGATGGTATTGGTTAAGACGTGACCCTTCCTCTGCCACTACCACAGACATGCCAGGACCTTTAGTCCACTTATACACCACTTCTGAGATAGGGTAGGCATCTGGAAAAACACACAGTAGTTTATACTTATTATGCAATGATAACGGTTATTAACCAGACACTGCGAGTACCTGGAAGATTAGTTCAAATGAAATGTAATCTGTTTAGTCCCGTCTTTGAATAAGGTTGCATAAGTGTTACCCACTCTTGATTGTACAGTCATTGTCAGTTGATTGCATTGCGATTTGCATGCAAGTAACTTTCATTTCTCAGATTTAGGAGGTACAGTGTCTACACCTGTCAATCATGGGGAAATATCAGCTTCCTTTATCAACAGGGAGCATGTTTTTCTGACTCTGCCAAGTGTAGAGCTGGGTAATAAATTTAATCATCTGCACCTGTGTTGAAAAATAGGATCAGACCATGAGGCTTAAAAAATGAGATTTTCATAGACACCTGCACCTCAGTTGAAGACAACTAGAGGAATACTTCAATAAATTGACATGTCTTTGCACATGTTAAAAAAATGTGTAGCCTTCGTTAGCTATCCTGCAAAAAAGCTAGAGATCAAAAAAAAAAAGAAAAAAAAAAAAAAAGCCAATCCTCTTAATACACTAATCCTTTTTGTTTTCAATTTACATTTTATTTTATAATTTACTATAATTATTTTTTATTGTATTTATTTTCATGTACAGACTGTAATCAACTCACATTCAACACTATGTGAAACTACATTTTAAGTAGATGCTAGTTTCACATAAAATAGCTGCAGCTTTACAGAGAGTTTCTTAACACTCCATTTTTTCCCTTTCACCACCTCCCACCATTGTGACATTCAATCTTGAAGCAAAACATTAATCCTGCCACTCTCATGCCGGCTGTCTCCATCACAATTAAGATTGACTTCGACCATCTAGACTGAGGGATTATTCTGCCAACAATCTACACACTCAGACGCACGTACCCTTAGATACCCCTAGCAAAATTCCTGCAAACTAATTTGCACTTCACAAATGGTCAGTCTCACCACCCCCACTCCTCTACTCTTCCCCTGACTAGGAAAATCAAACTTGCTATTGATATTGCTACAAATCTTCTGACTTCTGAAGTCATAACTAACATACTCGTAACCAGATGCTCCTCTGAATCATTAAAAGCACTGAAGCACTGAAACACAGTTCAGTTATGGTGAAAGCTCTCATCCTGGGGTTGTGTACCCCTACAGATAATGTTGTGCTTTCACCAAAAAACTGTGCCAGGTTTCCTTGGATGGTTGCAGAAAAGGCTTTTGCATGTTGAAATACTGTAATAATATAATGTATTATGTAAGGCATCATAGGCAAGTAGCTTCTAGGCCATTCTCATAGACACTTCTCAGAATGGACAGTCCACTTGAGGACAAGCCCACACATTACCTGTTAAGACTCTATAGGGTACCAGCCAAATAAGATTGTAAAGCTAATACTGATTGTTGGGACAGATAGCATAAGTAGTTAGTTCAAAATGCTGGCAAGTCCTGTAATTTTCTATTTTTAACTACAGCATTTTATACAACACTTTGCTATGCAACACTTTTGGGACAAATGTACTGTATGTTTACAGTTCTAAAACAGTGGGTTTTATTCATGAAACATGCACAGAATTCTTTAATATTTATACATTTTGTGCATTCAAATCAATAGGTAGATTTACACACCAATGGGTTTAAATACAATTTACACAAAAATGATGTGTGTTCCATGAATCAGGCCACGTTTTTTTATAGAAAGTATTTAATCTCTAAATTTTTAATTGCAAAACATTTTTCTCTTTATTTTTTAATTTTATTTCAAAAATAAAGTTATTTATTTATTTTATTTTGCATGTGGCTATAGTGTTATTTCCTATATTTTGGTAAGCACTGAAAAGTCAAGGATCTCTAAGCTATCATGTTTGTATTCTGTGTTATCTCCCTTTCTTACGCACAAGAACAGAGCACATTACTGCTGTCATCATTACTGTGGATTTATGGCATGAACCTTTACTGACTGTGTGTGACATTTCAGACTTTTTTGAGAAACCTGAAGAAAACCTGAAACTCTTTTTTAAGGGTTAGATACCAGTTCTCCTAGGATAATGTTTGAAGCTCAGTGCAAGTTCAGGAGCCAACAACTAAATAAACTAATGAGTGTGAAGACAGTGTTGCTGCTAATTATATATGGTGATTGTAAGTGGATCTAATTGGATTGAATTTAGTGGATATCAGATGATACAAATAAGCTCTGAACTCATTTAAGTTCAAATGTAAAACTATACATTTTGTCAAGCCTACTATGGATTGAATTAAGGAGGAGACTGAAGTTGTATATAGTGGTAGTGATGATAGAAATCATGGTAGAATAATAAAGGGTCAGAAAATATCGATTTTTGTGTTTATATTATACCCAGAGCACTGTGGGATATGTTATTCTTACTTTTTTGACATACTGTAGTCTGTAGACATTAAGGAAACAGCATCTGATAAACCAAAGGAAGTGACAAGGTCTAGCTTACAGAGGACAAAATATTTCTCATAGGTCAAGGGTTGAGACTTGAGGGAAACAAATGTAGCTCTTCATTACGACAGGGTCACCACAGCCCAAAGAGAGAATAGCCTGTAGAATAACCTTCTTACTCACACACGACTGAAACACTTTCCAGTAAAATGAAATCGTTCAGTGTGGATTGACTTGACAGAATGTGTGCGTGCATATACAAGTTTGGCTATACTCGAGAGGGGCAAATTTTGGGAAATGTCCTCACAAATAGAGTGAAACATCAAACACCCACAAAGTGGCCCTCACTTGATGAGATGTCCTCATTAATATAGTGAAACCAGCATGTGTGTGCTTATTTGTGGTTAGGAATGTTAGTGTTTTACAGCTTATTTTATTCCAGGTCTAAATCAATCATTTAATGTCAGAGTTTTCATTTTGTTTGTGAATCTCATTTACAATCCACTCTTGTTTTAATGCAGTATTGAATGCCTTTCAGCATTTCAAATCAATGACAATGTGAAGCAAGTTAAAGCAGTTAAGTAGTTCATTTCCAAAATGTGACAATCTGCAAAAATGACATGAGTAAATTAATTACAATTAAATTATAATAATGATCGTCTTTTGCTGCTAATATAAAATGTTGAATATTCAGAAAAGATCAAAAATGCAGCAAAGATAATTTTCCACTAGCTTGAAGCACTGGCATAGACAATTCCAAAAAACACAAATAAATAAATACATATAAGAATCTCTTTCTCAAACATTTACTAATAAACAAGATAGAAGCAATATGGCAGCATACGTAATATAAAGTCCATTTATACAAAGAAATAAAAATAAACAACTAAATAACACTCCATCCTTTTCTACAAACACCCACACCTTTCAACCTGTCCCTATAAAGCCTGTCTTTCTTTACACAAATTATGAGGCTTGGCTGCCCTAAGGTGACCCTAATACTCTATATACACAAGCTAGTGACATCTTTAGCCATTAGCTCAGCAGGTTGAGAAGCAAACACAGACAGTATTCTTAAAGCTGCAGGATATGTTTGTGATAGTAAGGCTTGGTTGTTGAAATGCTGTTTTTGTGTGTGTGTGTGTGTATGTTTAGACATATTTTGAATGAGTATGCATATTTGTTTAGTGTCCGTCTACTGCCTATCCTTTAAATAGGCCTATACCTGTATCTCAACACATTTTGTAGATTTGTAGACCTACCTCATACGGTATATCCTCCATTGCTGACCTATGCCTTATCTTATTTCTCTCTCAAAACTCTCTGGGAAGAGATATATTGGATTAATCGTAACAAAAATATGATTCACCATTGGGGACCTTTACAAGGTTGAATCATCCCGCAGTAATCTTTGGTCTATATAATCTTTTGAGGTGAATCTGCTGGCACGAGAACCTGAAGGCTGTACTGCAGTATGGGAAGCGCTAAATATACACTAGACTGGTACTAACGTCATCAAATAAACCTTAATGGACATGTCAGAAAGTAGATGTCAAAACAAGACATACAGACTGAAGAATATGGAGTGTAAGAAAATAGCGACTTACTATTTTTGTTATTGTTTATGCAGTATATTGCTGAATAATGGCTGTGTAAATGACCGTTCATTTAGAAAACCTACAGAGTTTTTCACTCAACAGTCTCTACATCTAAACTAATATAATAATTTCAATGATTACCAAAATATTTCATCTCAATTTATTAATTTGTCAAACCATGTAATAACTGGGATGTACAGTCAGACAGACATATATAGAGTTCAGTGCTCCTAGACACTCCACAGTCTCTCTCTTCTCACATAATAAAATCATTCGCAACTCAAAATCAATATTTCATGTCCAGTCATGCAATAAGTGGGATAATGTACTGTACAGTCAGCCAATCTTTACCACAAAATAAACCCTCACAGGGTGATACGAGACCCTAAGTTTCACATCAGGGACTATTATGTGATAATGACCAGCTGACTTTACATTAATCATGAAATTAATGCCTTTGTACCTGATTCACTCAGTCTGCTTAGCCGAAGATGTACATTGTGTCTGTTGAGATTAACTATGAGAATGATTGTCTGTCTCTTTCAAGAGCAGAATATTCCTTAACAAAAGGCTCCGCATTAACATAACGCACACATCAGCTTCTCAACTTTTGTCGTTTACATGAACGCCGTTGCCTTTCTAAGGCATTTTGGTTGAGATGACGGTTAAAACCAGGCATCTGTCACTGTTATCCAACCAGCCAAACAAAAGCTGCTAAGTACAGACAGAATTTATATAACCTTTACATAACAGAGCACAATACATCAAGTAAACCCTTTTTTTGATGCGATTTACAAGTTAAATCACTAATTCTCGGCTGCCTGTATATAGAGTAACTTACACAGAGGAAAGGGCATTAAACAAGTCTGTGAACTCTAAGTTTGTAAGTACGTTCCCAAGTATGAGTCCTAATGAAACCTAAATTTTCAATTACCACCTGACAATGAATAATTAACACCATTTGTGACATTTAAGATAGCTCAGGGTGTTTTAAATCTTCAGTAGAATGTAAAATTAAAAAACCCAAGAAATGCTGAGAAATTACTAATTAAACAAAATAGCTAAATAATAGAATCCAGTCATTTCTGTGCAGGATAGTTCATGTTTATTAACACCGTATTGTTCATTTGTGAAAATCATGCTCAATCTTCATTAAATATTCATAGTGGGTTAAGTAGTTCTTGCTTCTATAATAAAAGAGATAATATATGATCAGATCAATGAAAAAAATGAAATCAAGTAAATTTTGGTTATGCTATTGTCCATAAAGTAGATATAAACAAAACAAGAATTGGTGGGGGAAAAAATTAAGCCTTGTTATTATTGTTATTAAAATATATATTTTTTTTTTTAGAAAGCGGAGTATCTTAAATTGATGCAGCGTGGCTGGTTTAATATTAGTTTCAAGGATTGTCTGCATACATCAGTTTGGATTCAGGTCAAACCAGGCAGGTTAGTACAATTTTACTTTTAGAGTGATTAGATTTTATACTGTACTTCTAACTACATTGATGTTCTAATTTAACAATCCATCCAATCACATTGGGAAGCCTATGAGATTCCCAAAAGCACTGCATCAGACTCATTTTAGGTCACGGGCCAGATTAGATTAAACATCAATTTATGCTGGCCGATTTTTTTTATTTATTTATTAAATCTTGACGTACCCATGGAAAGCGTAAGCAATAAGCACAATGCGTGGTTTTATGCAACTACTGAATGAACTTCAGGTCATGAGGGATTTTACTATGCAGCTATAAAATACAATCAAATATTCAGATATGCACAATCATGAAACATCAGTGGCACCCCTCCTAAGCACTGTCTGTCATGGTTTCTGCTGTATCCCAGCCCAAAGGCTCTCCATGTACAGCCCTATCCTGTAATGCCCTGAACATCAAAGAAAGCTGAGCCCATCTCAGGTCATTCCTGGCTTCTTAGCACCAAAAAGCCTTTCTTTTGTGTGCGGGCAGTGCGTACGTGAGCGTGGGAGGGATGGCAGGACACCTTCCTACTAATCCAGTCCTCAAGTCACCCTTCTTTCTGCTAGCACCAGGTGATAATCTTAATCCTGCTCTTGGACAGGATGCCACGTGATAATCAGACTAAACTGGACTCAGTATGTGTTCAGATATACCTTAAACACCAGTCCGTCAAGCTGACTAAAATAGGCCAAGTTAGTATAAATGTACTCAATATTTTGGAAAAGTACACAAATGTATTGAGAACAAATGCAGAGAGAAATGAAGATGAAGATTTTCTACTTGCATCTTGTTCATTTAAATGTGAGATACTATTCATATGCATTTACTAAATAAGATGGATTTAATCTTGCATTTTGAGTAGTGACTATATTTCATCAGAGGGATTATTTTATGATTTCTTGGAATCTGCTATTTTAAAATCTTTTTATAATGGCAATGAAGTATACATTACAATGGGTTTTTTGGGCAGTGGCAAAGGAATTGTTCTTCATTCAGAATAAAACATTATGGACTTACAGCTGCCAAATTTGAGTGGGCAGGCATGAGTATCCATAGGGAAATCCTCCAACTGCATGGGACACTCTGCTGATATGGTCAATCTGCAGAGAGAAAAATTAAAATTAAAATATGATTAAATCTTGATCAGCACATCTGAGTATGTTTTAACGATCAGTTTTTAGTATAAACATGTCATCATTCATCATCAGCTTAGTGACAATCATCACTGGAACAGTGAGTAGCTGATTGTAACTAATTCAATCAGTGTTCAATGTCTTATTGAAAATCCCCTTAATGTAGCTATGGGCTTGAATAACTTGTGTATATTAATAGGAAGACTAAGCTAGCGTGTTGAGTGCTCTTAGATGTATTTATAGAACAAGGGTGCCCTCATGTGCCAGACGTAGGAATGCTGCCAAATCGGTGAAGTAAAGCACTGCTAATTCTGGATTTGCTTATAAGCAAGAACACACACACACACACACACACACACACACACACACACACACACACACACATGAATGCACGTACTCACCAGCAATACAAACACGTGCATAAAAACACAATTTCCTATTCAATATACAGTTTTCACTCATGTTTGATTCCAATGCATTTTTAAACACTCAAGCTGCATAAAATAGGATTTCAAAGATCTATTTTGAACTGATTGGAATATTGGAATATTGCCACCTATTGGAATATTTGAGGACTACAAGCAAAAAAAAAAAAATTATACTGTGCCATGTCACCACCCCCAAGCAAATAAATAAATAAATAATAAACACAAATTTGCTATAATTGATTTCAAATACATTTATTTTATACTAAGTATACTTCAAAACCATTAACATATTTATTGACCTTATCTAAGACTTATTGATATAAAATTATAATTCAACTTTATTTGGAGTATTTCTTTATTGCACAATGCACATTTCTTAATGTTTAACAATCCACTATTAAGAAGGATTGTATAATCTCTGTATAATATCAGTCTTTAAATGCTATATATTTAAAGTGTACCTGAAGTATACTTGCAATAGTTCCACTTTAGCACAATCAAATATACTTCAGTATATCTTTAGTTGGACTTCAGCACTACTTCCACACAATTAAGTAGTGCATTAAAGTACAAAATGAGTTGTTCCAACTAACCAGACTTTAAGTATACCAGTTACAATCGCAGGGTATTTTTATTAAGCACGTAAATATGTAAATGTATTTGTAATATACTTAGCATTAAATAAATGTATTTCAAATACATTTCAGTATTTTTTATAGGGACTATATTCAGTTCTACCACACTAGTGAAGACTGATTCAATTTCAACTGAATTTTTGTTGAAATTTAAGTTATTAAATTTGATAAACTAAAACTACATAAAATTATGTTATTATATATTGTTTATTATATTGTTGCTTTTCAGCCTTTTTTTTTTTTTTCCCTCGTGGGGTTCTCAGAAGAGGAAGTCAACAGAGTGATCTCATAGTGATTTTATGACTTTCCAAAAGAGCGGAAAAAAATATTGAGAGACTGATTACGTTTGTCAAAAGAGGGAAAGATGTCAAATTCGCTGTCACTCCCTTAGCGTTTATATTCAAAACACTCACGCAGCAGTGTTAACTAGTCTTATGTAATTTAAAGCCAATGTAAGAAAACACAAATACAGTGTTATAAATGTATATACAGCATATATATATATATATATATATATACATAAAGAATTTCGTACACTGTATAAATAAGTCTTTATACGTAAAAACATATTGTTGCCTTTATGTTAAAAGTTAAAACTTGTAACTTTAAAACCCCCTGATGTAGACAACACTGCGGAGCCTCTGCAGTGGCTGAATCTGCTATCCTGTAGACCCCTCTAGTGGACTACTTATGAAACACAGCTTTTTAATTCTATAACCATATGATTTTCTGAAAAGATCTGAGGCTAAACACATTAAATGTGATGGAGATGAACATCAATTCATTCTATCTGAGTGAGTGCCACTGAATTTGATTGCTGGATGTTATATAGTATATAAGTGATCTAACATGACATTAGAAATATGAAATGGAAGTAGAATCACACTATTATTGTCCCTCTGTTGAACAGCCAAAAGGATTCGGGCACTTCCTGTTACAACAAAGTACGTCCATTAGATTTACAATGCCAGCTTGCATAAAGTCTATTTAAATCAATGTTCAAAGTCTGCTGCTAAACCAAAAGTCTTCAGCAAAGCCATTTAGAAAAGCAAATATATGAGATCAAGGCTGATCATACTAGCATTACCATAATGGCTACAGGATGGCCGCCATATTATGCCCCCCTCTAGTCATTACGCCTTTCCCTCAACATCCCGGCTGGAGCCTATTCAATGATTTGGTGTAAGCAATGCAATAAGACGTCAGCGTTGACCCTCAGCTGACAGTGTAATGAAGGGTTTGATATTGCCATGCTACTAGAACTGCTTAAAACCTCCATCATCAGCATCTGAGTATGAGACCGGGGTTGAAGGGCCAATGGTTGTATCTCTGACTGAAAATCCTGCGAGAATGTAATTAATGGGGCGGGACACGTGAGGCGCTGTTCCTTCACTTAATCAGTGCAGGGCCTTCATCTCTTGACAGCTCCATGATGAATTGCTGTATTGGAAAAATGAAGGACTGTCCTCTAAACTCAACCTCCACTCGACCAGCTCACACAACTTTATCAAAACCAGCCATATGGGAGGCGAAGGGCTCGCTATGTACTTACTGAACACAGGTAGTGCTGAGGTCAGCATTGCTGGATGTGGAGACGAAATGATGTGGCACTGGGGCCTTGACAAATCATGAGCGCTCAGAGCTTTATCCTGACTGTGAGCTTTATTTGGTCTGTGATAGCCCATTAAATCTCATAAATTATTATTTTCTGTTCTTCCTTTGGCTGTCTTACAAATTTCACATGAATGTTCTGTAGAAGAAGTCCGTTTCTCTAAATAACAGTGGCTGATTCTGTGCCAGCACTATAGTAATATACAAACCTAAGCTGCAATTATAAATAATGCATACTTAAAATACTACTTTTTTACCGTTTCTTTACACATTAAAGAGATAATATAGTAATAGATTGTGCTTTTTACTATTAGAAGTGTCTACCTTTCAGATTGTATATGAAGAGTTTACTAAAACAGATATAAAAAAGATATCAAATCAGATAACTCTATTTTATCTCTAAGTTTATAGTCTAAGTTTATATTTATTTTCATAAATAATGTTTTTATTGTGTTATCATGTTTTAATTGTGTTTTATTGTGTTAGTTAGCTGTATTTTTAGTTATTATTATTTAATCAAAACAACCCAACTGCAGTTTGATTTATATTAATCGGAATACAGGATAAAAAAAAAACATGAGTTTTGAACATTTTTAAAAATGGAGTTATACGTTTTTGAAAATGAACTCTTTATATACAGTGTATGCATGTGTCATTGCAATTTATAGAAATTATTGTACATAACAACATACAACAATCTACAGGACTTTGTATTAATTTGCACATTAACAGTCAAGTAGCAGTTTAAAAATCATGGAGAATCAGATGTCTGTTCATTACTGATTAATTACAGTTCATTACTATTTTAAGCAGTTATGTTATGTGGATAGCAAAGTCGTTTGCACCTTGCTTTTTTGTCACTTAATATTTAATTTTGTTGTGTCAATCGCATATATATATATATATATATATATATACATAAAGAATTTCGTACACTGTATAAATAAGTCTTTATACGTAAAAACATATTGTTGCCTTTATGTTAAAAGTTAAAACTTGTAACTTTAAAACCCCCTGATGTAGACAACACTGCGGAGCCTCTGCAGTGGCTGAATCTGCTATCCTGTAGACCCCTCTAGTGGACTACTTATGAAACACAGCTTTTTAATTCTATAACCATATGATTTTCTGAAAAGATCTGAGGCTAAACACATTAAATGTGATGGAGATGAACATCAATTCATTCTATCTGAGTGAGTGCCACTGAATTTGATTGCTGGATGTTATATAGTTTAATTAATTTGTTTTTTTATATATTTCTACATTGTTTTAATTCATATTCATGTTATTTCATATATGTGTGTCTATATGAAGAATTTATTTGTAAAAACAGGTAACTACGTTTTTATTAATTTTCATAAATCATGTTTCTATTGTGTTATCATGTTTTAATTGTGTTTTATTGTGTTAGTTAGCTGTATTTTTAGTTATTATTATTTAATCAAAACAACCCAACTGCAGTTTGATTTATATTAATCGGAATACAGGATAAAAAAAAAACATGAGTTTTGAACATTTTTAAAAATGGAGTTATACGTTTTTGAAAATGAACTCTTTATATACAGTGTATGCATGTGTCATTGCAATTTATAGAAATTATTGTACATAACAACATACAACAATCTACAGGACTTTGTATTAATTTGCACATTAACAGTCAAGTAGCAGTTTAAAAATCATGGAGAATCAGATGTCTGTTCATTACTGATTAATTACAGTTCATTACTATTTTAAGCAGTTATGTTATGTGGATAGCAAAGTCGTTTGCACCTTGCTTTTTTGTCACTTAATATTTAATTTTGTTGTGTCAATCTATTATATATATATATATATATATATATATATACTAAGAAGTTATATATACACACAAAAATCTAAACAGATATTCAGTATTAAGGGGATCAAAGGTAAAATTTTAACAATCGCTCATTGAAAAATTCATATTGGTTGACCATTAATTTGAATATTGAGGTGGATGTGTCCCTCTCAGTGTCTAAGTTGTTTATGACTCCGTTTAAATGTCTCAACATCGAGCTCAAGCTAAGAAGTTATTTTATAAACATGGCAGATCCTTCAGACGATTTGACAGTTTCTAGAACATCTCCCTTTTGTTCGGTCTCATAACCTCTTTTTTTAACTCTAATAAAAGCCTGTAGACTGCATTCCACTTTTAGAATGTGGGTGGTGAAACTGTTTTGCCCTGCTTTTTCATGGCAGCTAAGGTGCTCCTTTCCATCTCAGCAGGAAAAATAAAAATACCTTACTGCTTATCACTTTTCCGGAAACAATGTGCACATTAGTGAGTGGTAAAAGGCAAGCTACAATAGCTACACCATTGATTTCTAAATGACATGATCCAAGTCATTTCCTCTCAGAGTCATTAATGTTTGATTGATGATCTCATTCAATCTACGATCTAAAAAAGCAGCTCTATCTAAGGCTTTAGCAATTGAATAATTTTATAATATGCATTTGGTCTTACAATATACAACACAGACAATAAAAAAACTGCGACGCTCCGCAAATGAGAAAGGAATGCGTTTCATGTAAATGAAATTATCCATGTTCTTTGACTTTTTCATTTATTTGATATTGCTTTAGCCCCACTACATGAAATCTATTTGTTACCTCTATGGAAAACTCGTCAAATCCCTCTTTGCATTTAAATTTGAGTTAATAAAAACTAATAACTCATTATATAATGGATCATCATATCTGTAACCCTGGGGGAATAAAAACAACTAATACATAACCACCACAATCTAAACACTTTACGATTGTGCTCCTCAAAATTCAGCACTTTCTCAAGCAGATTCTACTACAGAGAGGATTTAGTATTGATGCCATTTGAGAACAACAATAGCAGCTTTTATACAGCACTAACACAGCAGTGTTCAGTGCTTGGCAGTAGATTGTTGCTGATGATAGCATGGCGAGCAGAAACTGTTTGTGTGTGATTGTAAGTGTGTGCGTGCATGTTCTCTCCCTCTGCCCTGATACTGCGAGTAATGGAGCAGACCGTCTGTGAAGAACAACTCAACAACAGGGGCATAAATCATGCAGCCACATGCCCTTTTCCGCGTTCTCCTTTTCCTTTGATTCTATCTCTTGCTTCGTCTTAGCCCCTCTTGCTTTTTCTCTGGAACACCCTTAGGTTGGAACACCCTTGGATGACTGGTTCAGGGCACAAAGAGAAACCAAAATAAACTAGATGCAGTAGGTACATTTTCTGAATAAATGAATGCGTGGAGTGTCAACAAAATTGGAATTTGCCTCTGGAACCTCAGTACACTGCTCAAAGTCAAAAAAAAAAAACTGACCTTGAAAACTAGGTAAAATTATCTAGGCGGATAAAATAAATGTTTTTTTTTAAGTGCAAAAATGACACATTAGTCTTGATTAGATTAGTCTTGGTAGCATCAGCAATAATTGACTTAAAGTTACAAAATAATCAGTAACATTTTCCCATCATTTTCCAAATTACATTTAAATAATTTTACAAATTAAATTAAACAAAATAGAAAAAAAATATATTCATTTGTAATATTTTGTGTTGGGTCCTGTGAAAATGTTGGCAGGGCAAGCAGACAGATAGACCGATAGATAGACAGACAGACAGACAGAGAGAGAGAGAGAGAAAGAGAGAGAGAGAGAGAGATAGATAGATAGATAGATATTTTTAAATGAGGCTAATAGAATTTTGTATTTCATTTATATATTTAATCAAATATAGATGTGAATAGACAGCATCGGAAAATGTATAGAGAGAAAGGCTTTAGCATTTTCCTTGCTTTAGCAGTGGCAAACTGAACATTCCCACTGAGATTGTACGATGTGGAACATGAGATGCTGAGTTCAGCAGGAGCCGAGTTCATGTGTGCTTAACACATCTGTCACAAGGCAGAGGGTTCAACAGTGCAAAACAGGGGTGAGGAGGGCATAAATGAGATGAAGGTCAAATGTGTAACTGTACTACCCATAACTACTCAAATCCATTCATGCACACAGCAGTTCACATGTTGTGAAATGACAAGGCGTTCATTATAGCTTAAACTGGTACCTCATGGTGTACAGCAATGTCCCATCATCCTTCAGTCTCAGAAGCTTGTTGGGCGTTGTCATGTTGTGAGCAATGGATTTTTTGCCATTAAGGAAAAAGGTGTCTGGTGTCCAGATATTACTGGCCAGCAGGTTATTCAGAGGTAGCATCTCCATCGGCCCCTTGAAACACAAACGTTCATCCTTCCAGCTTTGACGGAAAAACACATCAATGGTGTATTCCTGTTGAAAGAAAAACGTTAGTGTCATTAGTGTGTACCTGAAGGCAGGGTCATTGTGAGGGACCCCAGGTCCTGTGATGAGGAGGAGGGGCCCACTGAGGCCTCCCCATAAACTTTTTCTCCAGTGGCCCATCAATACAGCAACGACCTTGCCTGAAGGCAGAATCAAATGTGTCACATGACTGAATATAAAAATAAACAATAGTATCATTCATCAGATCGTACTGTGACCTGCCTAAGATATCGCATGCAGAATATAAGGGAATGTGGCAGAGGTGAAGTAATGTCACAGATGGAGGCAGGATTTAATGAAGGAGGTCTTGATGAAGAGACATCTCAGGTGGGAATTTGTAGAGGTCAATGAAGGGTGGTTGTTCATGAAGAAAGATATGGTTGAAATACTTACCATCTCAGTATCTGACACTGGTCCAAAGCTGGTCACAAAGATGTTGGTTTTTATTTCTGTCACTTTCTCTGTAAAATCAAAAACAAATTGCGATTTTTTTAGATCAAGTTCAATTTTGGTCATTGCATACATAGTTAGATAAATACATAAATACATAGATATACAGTAGTTATTATAGTGAACTAAAACTATAACTGAAACAAAAATTAAAACCATTAAAAAAAACTTTACATTACTTATAATAAAATAAACATTAACTGAAATAAAATATAATACCAAAAAAAACATTATTTCAACTAGTTGCCAAGGTAACATTTTTCATTTTAATTTAGTTTAACTTTATATACTAAAATAACTAAAACGGAAATAAAAAATATAGACATATATAAAAAACAAAAACTATTAAAAATGAAATACATATATGTTAGGGCTGTGCGATTAATCGAAATCGTCATAAAATCGCGATTTGAGCTTGCGCGATTTCTAAATCGCTTTATAGCACGATTTTCCGCTCCCCCGA